GGTGTCTCCAGACTCGAATCCGACCATCGTGGTGTTGCAGACAGAAGCGTGACTCGTCAGTAAAGACAGTTTCATTCCATTCTACCGTTCACGTCCTTTTTCATCGCACCATTGGCGGCGGAGACATCTGTGGTTCTGCGTCAAGAGTAGACGTAGTAATGGACGTCTTTCGGACAGACCACTCTGTTGTAAACGGCGTTGAATGGTACGCGCAGACACTGGATGATGCGTTACAGACTGAATGTGCTGTGCTATGGTTTGTGATGTGACTGAGCGATCCGTCACTGCCATGCGCACAATGTTCCTGTCATCACGTGAACTGGTGTACTGAGGTGGATGCGATCGAACACGATCGGTACCGTCGTACCCTCCTGCATCCAACGGTCACATAACCGCGTTACAGTTGTTTGGTTTCGTTCCAACACGACTACCTGATTTCCCTGAAAGATACTCCACACTCTCGGTAGGCCACTATCCTTCCTCTGTCGAATTCGGATACTTGATCAAACGACGATCGCTGTTTACTATGAGTCATAATTGATAGGTTTTTTTTTTTTTTTTGAAAAAAAACCACAAAAAAAACACAATTGCCGAACTTGAAATCGTCGAAAACTCCAAGCCTTAAATAGCGCATTGAAGTGGCGCCACAGGCGCGCGTGATGTGCGTCTGCGCTTAAATTCTAATCATTTGCATATCTCACCTCCGCTAATGTATGTTGTAAATTTCATGTTATTTGCATTCTTCCTTCAATGTGTTTCATTTACGGTGGCCAGCAGTGTATCAAGGGATGTAGAGAAAAAAATGGTTACCTCAAAATTTGACCTAAGAGGTTGGAAACATAATAGACTTAAAAATGAAACTTTAATTTCAAACCTTTGTAATGAAGATTATGAAGATGTGTCAATATTGGGATTGAAATGGGACTTGTTTGACGATACTTTGTATTGTAACGTAAAATGTGAAGAAAATCCTGTATTGTGCAAAAGATCAGTTCTTTTCGAATTGAGTAAAATCTTTGACCCAATTGTGTTTACTAGTCCAGTTACTCTCCTGCCTAAACTGATTCTGCAGGAGTGCTGAAAAATAGAAAATTAACTGGGATACTAATCTGCCGAATGATCTAGTAAAGTAATTTTTTACATGGTCATCTCAGTTAAAATATTTGAAAGACATCAAAATTCCTAGACTGCTTCCCCAAATAGACGAAAGTACCACTATGCATGTATTTTTAGACGCAAGCAAGGACGCTTTAGCGACCTACAGTTTCCTTAGACACAGCGGTAAGGGTGGAATCACTTGTCAATTAATAACAATCTAGAGCTAGAGTTGCTCTCCTAAAAGCACTCACCATACCTCGACTAGAGATACTCGCTTGCACTATTGGAGCTAGGCTCTCTCATACAGTAAGAGAAGACTTAAAGCTAAAAGAAGTTTCATTTTTTTTACTGGACAGATGCCACAAATGCCCTCTTTTGGATAAAAGAGAAAGAAAATTTGTGCACTTTTGTAGCCAATCGAGTAAATGAGATTCGAAAATTGAGTAAATGAGATTCGAAAGGCTCATTTTTCATCTTGCCTGCTTCCAAAAATACCTAATGTCTCTACAATTGCGCCCGAACTAAAAGGGTGTTGGATAATGATTCTCCTCACCCAGGATTTGTCGAATGGGTCCCCTAAAACCCCAGTCGACTTTTAAAAGGGGGAGTGTATAAGGTATTTCTCCCGCCTTCCAAGCGTGTCTTCGTGGTGTAGTGGTCAGCACACTGAACCGGTATTTCAAAGGTCCGTGGTTCGATTCCTGGCGAAGGCGATTGCCCATTTTTCATCTCTCGGCTTTTCCAATTAATCTAATGTCGCTACCGTGGAGCCCGAACTAAAAAGGGTGTTGGATGATAATTCTCCTCACCCAGGATTTGGCGATTGGGTTCCCTAAAAACTCCAGTCGTCCTTTAAAAGGGGGATTTACATAAGGTATTTCTCCGGCCTTTTTTTCGTGGTGTAGTGGTTCTGCACGCTGGGCCGGTATTCCCAGAGGTCCGTGGTTCGATTCCCGGCGAAAATGTTTGCTAATTTTTCATCTTGGGATGTAGAGAAAAAATGGTTACCTCAAATACCTAATGTCTCTACAAGTTTAAAAAAATGATTCATTAGATTTACGTTTTATCATTTGTTGTATTATTCTTAATTTTAATTTTCCGAATATGAACAAGCTTTCAGAAGCAAAATCATAGATTATAATTCCGCGAAAATTCAATTTTAATTAATGAGATGGCTGCGCTTGATATACTGATGCATTTTATTTTCTAATATTTCGTATAAAATAGCTTAATTCTTAAATCACATCTTTCAAAAATATTCAGCCTGTTTCTGATTTTCTGTAGTAAATTATTAACTTGAAGCATACTTCTACTAAATAAGAAGAGGCAGAAGTCAATAATGTTGTTTGATAACAACTCTTTAACAATGATTTGGGGGCAATGATATTTTTTTTCAGATGAGTTTTAAATTCCGAAACTTAGCTTACATATATCTTGTGTTTGAAAATTTCTCTTTCAATACAGGCAACTCTTCCTACATCATAAGGTCAAATTTATCGCAGTTCAGCAGTTCTATGAACCATGCTGGCACATTCAAATTTTCAATGTCTTAGAAGCGAAGATTAAATTCTTTAAAATTTTGAAAGCGGTTTGCATATAGCATTATATCTTCTGAAGAAGTTTTGTGTTCGTGTTTTGTTTTTGTTTTGTTTTTGTTATTGTTTTGTTTTTTGTTTTTGTTGTTGTTGTCATACTTTGTTATGTTCTTATGTTTTACTTTTCCATAATGCACTTTATTACACCGAAAACATATTTAAGAATAAAAGTATTATTCATTTTTAAAATGCATTAAATAATGTATGTTATTTTTCTCCTTATATTTTTTATATGGTTTCTTCTTTACTACTTAGTTTTATATTAAAAACCAATGATCGATTTTACAGTATCAGTAATATTTTTGTATTCAATGGAATATAAATTAGTGTGCAAAACTCAAACAGGAAATTCATTTTTCAACATGTAATCATGAAAATGTTGAAAAGGATGTTTTGCCATCGATACAATGAAAAGCCGTCAGAAGGTATATGTGGGTACACAAAATGCAAGGAGTCATCCTGCACAATGCAAAGCAACTTAAAAAAAAGAAAGGAAGGAGCATTTTCAGGCATCCTTCTGCAAGTAAAAGTGAGATTGTACGTACAGAATGGCTACAAAAACATCGGAACGAATTTTATACGTGGTGCAATGATTTGATGTCTATCAACCAAGAGTTTCGAATTGATAAAAGTGATATTTTACGAGCTTAGAAACCATTATAAACGGCAGGTACAGCTGTGAGTATTTATGGTGGTGGTCGGCCAAGGAAAATACAGCTGTGAATATTGATGGTGGTGGTCGGCCAAGGAAAATAGTGTTGACTGTTGTTGGCCGACCAAGGGAAACAGCGACTTCATAAAGGTGGCCTTATTCGCCCATCGTCCTGAACGACATACCATTGACAGCAGCTCATCGCAACTCTGTTTACATTGGTGTAAAAAACACAAAAACTGTACATCTAATCAGGGGAGCCAGATCCTCTTTGACAAACTATTCTCCAGTGGCCAGGCGCCAGTGGATATGAAAAGAGGTAGGGACACATTTTTATTCCACTTAACATCAAGAAAAAAGACCGTTGGTGTAGTCCTCCTTCTTATATGGGAAAACGTTATGATGAACGGAAGGATGGAGCTCCACATTTTCGACAGAGATTCATTAACCGGAGATCGTTACTCTGATGAAGTTATCCCCCACAAGTTTGTCTTCTTCGGGGTGCCATTAATCTGAACTTTGTTTTTTTAAATGAAAATGAAGGGCCACTCAGCACTCTTGCTGTTGAGGAGATCCTGACAAATGAAAGTATCCATAAAATGGATTGACTAGCGTGCTTTCCTGACTCGAATGTCATTAAAAATGTGTGGGATACTTTAGGAAGACGTCTAGCGGCACGATCTTTCCGTCCGGAGAACACCAGAAAACTGAAACAGATGCTTGTTCGAGAATGAGAACTCTTACCCCAAGAACTGTTAGGTAACCTTGTGTTGAGTACAGATAGAGGAATTTGTGGAATAGCATTAAATATGTTTGAGCCGTAAATTAGATCTTGTTAATTATGGATATTAACCGTAAATTAGCTGTTGAAAACCCCAGCCTTGCGATTACTAAAAGATTGGCGGAACTTAGTTCATAAAAAGTAATCCAAGATGTGAGAAAAAATGTTTGTTATAACTGACCTGCAAATTAGTTAGGAAACACATAACCCGAAAGGATGGTTGTTAATGATCTTACGCATAAGGTTTTCGTTGAATTTAGATGTCGATATCTTATTATACTGTATACATGTTTAATTTGAAACAAACACGTATTTAATTAGAAAGATTGCTAAGGTATACCTAATGGGTTGAAAGTAGGAAAAGTACTTCGGGTAATTAATAAAATTTAAAAGTGCGTCTTTTTGTCCAGAGAATAGTAGTAATTAATATTGCGCCCCTTCTAGTTGTTCTTCTGAGTCATGTGCCTCACTCTTGTACCAGTCCTGCTTGGTAATATATATTGCATATACAGGGTATTCATGGTTGAAAATAGAATGTTCCATACCTAATTCATGAAACTTTTGTTCGTTGTTTGTGAATTTGTGTAATAAACGATTTTTCATCAAACAAATTCAACAACGAATGCTAGTTTACCTTACAGCTGTCATTCTCTAAAGCAAACAGCTTTTCTTTTGTAGCTGCCTCCTAAAATTTGCTTTAAAAGTCTTAAGACATTGTGAAATGATCTATGCTTATTCGCAGTCGAATACCTTGAGTTTTAAGGAGTATTGAACTTTACAGGGATACAGTTTTTAAATGTCTATTAGATTTATGCAATGTCAAATCAAGCTTCGACAAAATGTACTATAAAAAGTTTCCCTTCTTTTTTCACAGGTCCAGAAGGAGCTAATTTATTTATATATCATTTGCCACAAGAATTCAATGACGCTGACTTAGCCCAAACATTTATGCCATTTGGCAATGTTATTTCTGCCAAAGTTTTCATTGATAAACAGACCAACCTTAGCAAATGTTTCGGTATGTATTAGAAACACCCAACTATTAATTTGCATTACATATTATTTAAATGCTACTTTTGTAATTAATGTTTAAACTTTTTTAGGGTTTGTAAGTTATGATAACCCCAGCAGTGCACAAACTGCAATCCAGGCTATGAATGGATTCCAGATTGGTATGAAACGCCTAAAAGTACAGTTAAAACGCTCCAAAGACGCAAGCAAGCCTTATTGAATATGGGACGTCATATTTCTTTTATCCATACACATGATGGTTGGTAATTAACTCTTTTAATTAAAATTTTATTTAAAATTATTTTTATCTGCTGCTCTTATAAAATGAGCTTATGGTATACTGATAGTCAATAGTTTCTAATCCTTAAATCTTCCAAATTTTATTCTTAAACTACGAATATGTTCATGAAGGTAAGTTTTCCTCGGCAAATTCCTCAGACATAATTTTACTATCAAATTAAGTTAATTAAAAAATCACTTTTAATTATTGGATATTGTATAACATTTGCCCATAATTTTATAGTCTTGCAACTTTTCCGAACAAACTTTGCACAAGTTCATTAATTGATTTAATTTTTTCCTTGTTAAAAGGTAAGTAAATTTCTGGAATTTCTTTGAAATTTCTAGTTAAATTTCCTGTGTTGAAGATCTATTTATATTCAGAAGGTAATTATTTGCTTAATGTTTCATATTCTTATTAGTAATTTGTCATTGAGATAAAAAATTTGAAATGGTTCAATAAATAGCTAATATCAAATTTTAATTTAAAATGATGAGCGGTTTGCTCTATGGACTTCACGAAAGAGGTAAGGAACAGTTATCAATGCAATTTTAAATCGTTCACTTTTAAACCAGTCGTAATTACTTTCTTAAACAATAATTTATAAGCAGCTTCTTGTGTATATCATATTGGACCTAATAAAAGATGATGTTTTTCCCTCTAAATGCCCGTAAAGACGTACCAGATTTATATGTACAGCCGCACATTTAAGAATATGCAAGAATTAAATAATTTACTACTTATTCGTCCTGTTTTTAACTTAAAAAATATATTTATTTATATTTAGCTCAACGTATGAACATTTAAGGCTTTTTTAGGTAAAATATTTTTAGCATATCAAGCTGAAGTATGATAAAACATCTTAAAATGCAAGATTTTTCTCTGTCTTGCAAAACACCTTGGTAAATGCAAAGTTTTCTTACATTTGAGGTTTTCTTGTGTTATGGTCAATGCATAAATACATATCACATTTTTGCTAAATTATACTGTACGTTGTGGCTTATGTGCATATTCTAAAGCAATATTCATCATACATATGGATTGAGTTAAAATAACTTGCCGAATAACGATTATTGAAGAAGTTAAAGCAACAAGAATCAGAGCAATATTCATAAATATTCAGGACTAGTTTCGAAGGTTTAAATATAGATCCTGCTTCTTCAGCTGCAGAAGTGCAAATGATGAAAGAGAAGCCAGTGATACGATAAGATATAGCAAGGCGATAAGAATGAAATGGAGAACGTCAAGCTTCTAGCGTCCTCTGTTGATAAAAAATGAAAAACACTGCGCAATAATTTCCTTAAAACATGAGGGTAAAGACAGATTAGAATTGGGATCGTTAATTAGAAGTGAAAAGTTTTATTATTGTGAAACGCTTCTAGAAAATCTAATTCGCTAAGGAAGATTTTTTAAAATAATTTTGGCTGCAGAAAAGGATAAAATGTAGTATTATGAGCAACATTGTTGGATAAAAGGGGATTTATGTGTCCCTTTTTTTTCCTAGCATATGCCTAATGTTCTTTAACGCGAAATTTTAAGGCTCTCTCTCAGTTAAATTATATCACATTCTCAAAGAATCTTGTATGTACCGTAGGAGTTCGTATCCAGAATAGGGTCCTTAAGAAAGGAATTGCAAATTTTATTGATGGAAGAGAAAACGACCCGAAAGTTAAATTTTTAAGAAATACGTGCAATTTTATAGCTAATCCATGGGAAGAAAAATGAGTATCAGTATTTTCATGCTAAAGCTTTTGTTTTACATTTTTCATATTCTTCTCTCATTCATCTGAAATAAAATAAGTGTTATAGTGAAAATCATGATACCAATAATTGTTATAGAAAAATCATATGGTTTCCTACTCTGTTGACATAACACTTAAAATTTTTTAACAGTAATATACTAATATCTATAAGCCCTGTACATTTTGCGTTGTGTTTTCGGATTAACCCTGAAATCAACTTGAGAATGAGACGGGTGAAAATCATGAGCACACACACAAAAATTTAACCTTTGAATGATCTAGAAAAACTTATTTATTTAACTATTAATGCCAATTATAAATATATATATATCCATTAGTTAAAAAAAAATATCAAAATATATTCAACAAAATTTGAACTATTGTTTTACACATTTTACATCCTTGTAATTACTATTAAATTTAATATTGCAAATCTGGTAAAACATACCAAAATAAACTATAAATTTAAGAACACTACCCTCCCCGGGGAGAAAAAATAATAAAAAAAAATTAACAAGCTACACTTTCAACTTCACACAGAATTCATCTATACAACAAAAATTATTGCTTAATATTGCACTCAATATAATCATTTAAATACTATTATTGCACATAATAATTTTTATTATTCAATTTTTTTTTCTTAGATTAATTAAATATGGTTTTAACCGGATAAGATAAGTAATGACACATTTACTATTCTACAAACAAGTTCGTCCTGAGAAACAAGAATGCTCTAATACAAGCACTATTTCAAATCATCCTCACCAATGAGTAATTCAAAAAAAAAAAAACATTCAAGTAAATAATTTCCTGAAGAACTTAATTTTCTTAACCATTAAGTTAAGTTACAATAATTTTAATAAGGTTATAAATCTTTATTCCATTTAATGCTTTTACTTGATTGATACACCAAAGAAAAATGATTTCTATAGAGTTAGGATAAAGTTATCAACTACAAAAAAAAAATTTAGGGTTCAACAAATTAACAAATTAAGTTAATTCAATCATTTTAACTGCAGAAATCTATAATATTTAACTAACCAAGAATTAACCAAAAAGAAAAAGGAACTTATCTGTTAAGGATCATCAAACAAAAGAAATCCATCGAAGCTCATGAGGAATGCTGGCAGCCTGTTGAATGAAAAAAAAAAAAATGTTCGTCGAACAGTTTGGATTCAATTACTGTAGCCTAGAAGTTCTAGTAGATTTTAGGATGAACAATTGAGGTTCCAATACGGCAAGATAAGTGAAATACAGTGCTGGCGGCCTGTTGAATGGAAAAAAATGTTCGTAGAACAGTATGGATTCCTTACGGTAGCCTTGAAGTTCTAGTAGATTTTAGGATGAGCGAATGAGGTTCCAAAAGCAACGGTTTTAAATTATTCATTATGGTAGCCTTGAAGTTCTAGTAGAATTTAGGATGAGCAAATGAGGTTCCAAAGCAACGGTTTTAAATTAATGGTAGCCTTGAAGTTCTGTAGAATTTAGGATGAGCAAATGAGGTTTCAAAAACAACGGTTTTAAATTATTCATTATGTAGCCTTGAAGTTCTGGTAAATTAGGATGAGCAAATGAGGTTTCCAAAAACAACGGTGAAATTGTTTGAAGTCTGGTAGAATTTAGGATGAGCAAATGAGGTTCCAAACAACGGTTTTAAATTATTCATTATGGTAGCCTTGAAGTTCTAGTAGAATTTAGGATGAGCAAATGAGGTTCCAAAGCAACGGTTTTAAATTAACGCTCTGGTCTCGAGTGAAGCGAAGAATCAATGGTGCGCATCATTTTTCTAGAAATTTACTTCTGTATATTTTCCTTGAGATACACAAACACACACAACAAAAACTGATGAAAGAATTTCGATTTTTTTTTTTTGAAGACATAGATGCCCATACCTACGGCCCGCGCTCACAGCGCTTAGCCAAGAGGCCCGTAGGCCTATCGGGGAGAAGCTCCATTTTCTTCGTCGGAGTCAGCTGTCGCCTCCGGCCAATTCAAAGGGCAAAAGAAGTAAAGTGCAAAAAAGTGTCAAAAAGTGAGCTCGTCCCCTAAAACAACCCGTTAAAAGGGAGAGCGCCGGACTGCCAAGTTGGCGCAACCCATTTTTTCGCCGAAAGTTGAAATAGTTGCAACCACAGCATACCCTCATGTTATCAAACTCGCCAAAACCACTATTTTGAAACCTCAACGGAAAATCTATGTCGCCAAACCCTCGCCAAATAACACCACCTGCGACCGGGGGAGAAATTAGGAATTTCAACAACCCTGCAAGGGTCCCAACGAAAGAACGCTGAAAACTCGCAAAAAGTGACTTTTCAACCGGAAAGAAGGCATTTCATCCCCCTTTAACTAAATCACAAGCGAAACGAAGAAAAAAAAATCTACTAATTAAAGCTCATAACTGAAATGCAATTAAAGTTAGAAAAATGAAAGTTATGCCAAATTAAAGAGCTAATTTTTCTGCAACTAATGATATTAAATACTAAGAAATCAAATTAATTTTTGACATGAAAAAAACTGAGTTTATTACGCAGAAAAAAGAAAAAACAAAAATACTTATCCATTGTTTGCGTGTACAAGATTGAAGACGCAGTTCGCGTAAACTCGGAAAGCCAAAATATATTACACTAGAATTAATAGGCCCAAAAAGAATATAACCAAACTTGTGTAGCTCAAATTTTGAATAATTACAAATTAAAATTTTGATTTTTATGAATCACTTAATTAAATTAAATTCGCTACACAACATCCCTCCGATGATCGTGAAAAAAATTTTTTTGGCGAAGCCAAAAAAATTTTAGGACCCACAGACAATGGAAAAGTTTTACATAAGTTACTAAATACGAAGAGGAAAAAAAATACATAATGGTACCACATGTTAATCACAAAGAAGGACACATATACCTATTTATAATTAATCCTACCATAAATCATGGTTAGCAAATATAAATCCTACCAAAACAATGGTTAGCAAATCCAAATCCTACCATAATTGTATGGTTAGCAAATCCAATCCTACCATAATTGTATGGTTAGCAAAATCCAAATCCTACCATAATTGTATGGTTAGAAAATCCATCCTACCATAATTGTATGGTTAGCAAATCCATTAGTGAACCGAGTAAGAAGAGGGTCAAGAAGTGTCCCTGGCACACAACAAGCATACATCAAAACAAATAAAAAATGTTGTCAAACAACACGTGACACGCCCTAAAATAAAATGTGAAAAGTAAAATG